GCATTCCAGGGAGAGCACTCAGTGCAGGGGTCAGGGCTGCACGTTTGACCTGGAAAGCCTTTGAAAGCAGAGGGAAAAACCTTAAAAAGCAAAGGGGAAAACCTTAAAAAGCAATGGGGAAAAACCTTAAAAAGCAAAGGGAAAAAACTTTAAAAAGGAAAGGAAAAAACTTTAAAAAGGAAAGGAAAAAAACTTTAAAAAGCAAAGGAAAAAACCTTTACAACCAGAGGGAAAACCTTAAAAAGCATAGGGAAAGACCTTAAAAAGCAAAGGAAAAAAAAAACTTAAAAAGCAAAGGGGAAAACATTAAAAAGCAAAGGACAAAAACCTTAAAAAACAGAGGGAAAAACTTTAAAAAGCAGAGGGAAATACCTTAAAAAGCAAAGGAAAAAACCTTTAAAAGCAGAGGGAAAAAACTTAAAAAAGCAAAGGAAAAAACCTTTACAACCAGAGGGAAAACCTTAAAAAGCATAGGGAAAGACCTTAAAAAGCAAAGGAAACAAAAAAACTTAAAAAGCAAAGGGGAAAACATTGAAAAGCAAAGGGAAAGACCTTAAAAAGCAAAGGAAAAAAACCTTAAAAAGCAGAGGGAAAAACTTTAAAAAGCACAGGGAAAGACCTTAAAAAGCAAAGACCTTAAAAAGCAAAGGAAAAAACCTTTAAAAGCAGAGGGGAAAAAAACCTTAAAAAGCAAAGGGAAAAAAAAAACTTAACAAGCAAAGGGAAAATCCTTGAAAAGCAAAGGAAAAAACCTTAAAAAGCAAGGGGAAAAAACCTTAAAAAAGTAAAGGGAAAAACTTTAAAAAGCAAAGGAAAAAACCTTTAAAAGCAGAGGGAAAACCTTAAAAAGCAGAGGGAAAACCTTAAAAAGCATAGGGAAAGACCTTAAAAAGCAAAGGAAAAAAACTTTAAAAAGCAAAGGGAAAGGCCTTAAAAAGCAAAGGGAAAAAAAACCTTAAAAAGCAAAGGGAAAAACATTAAAAAGCAAAGGGAAAGGCCTTAAAAAGCAATGGGGAAAAACCTTAAAAAGCAAAGGGAAAAAACTTTAAAAAGGAAAGGAAAAAAACTTTAAAAAGGAAAGGAAAAAAAAACTTTAAAAAGCAAAGGGAAAAAACCTTAAAAAACAAAATAAT